AAACAACGACAACGACGACGACAACGACAAACAACTGATCAATTTATTTCCTGGGTTCTTTCGGAAGTGTTTTATATGCGCAAGGAAAATGTTGTCAGAAAAGTTTAATCGCTTCTAACATACTTTGACACCATGGAAGCAATCACTATAAGAAGTCAACGTCTCATCGGTCGACAAGTTGACGCTGCTGAACCTTGAAAAAAAATGGAATTGATTAATTATTTTAAATATTAAAGATAAAACAAATATGAAGTAGGCATAAGGTACTTGTCTAAATCCTAAACGCGAGTAACGTATGATCAGAAAGAAAGAATGATGTATGAGTAATTATTTTTATATATATATATAAATAAATAATAAACAAATATTAAATACTCTGTAATACATACAAGATCAATTTATCAAAAATTATTATAAGTTTGCAATTTTTTTTTTATCATGCATCTAGTACATTAATTTGTTGTGACAGATTAAGTTAATATGTTTTATATTTTTATAAGACTATTATACGGAAAAACTTTTATTTTGTGACTATTATTGTTGTTTTAGTAATTTTTCCCACCAATAGAACAGACGGCAGTACAGCACTAGTATACGGAAAACCCTCTTCCCCCTAGAAATTTGATAGAGTGTTTTCCTCTAATTAATAAATATACCTATTACCTACTTATACATAATATAGTGCAGGTGGTGTTTTTCACCTCACAAGTCAGGCCTATATGGCTATATACTACGATATCTAAGTTTCTGTATAACCGAGTGCAAACGATGCAGCTGCATAGGTGCATCACCCATGTATTGAATACAGTATCTGCCTATAATTATATTTAGTATATAAAATACAGTCACCTAGTATCTTTTTAAAATCTGGATCCATATAATATAGGTACCTGTCTGTAAAACACCTTTTGCCGCCAAACCGTCTACCTATACGGTTTGGCGGCAAAAGGTGTTTCATGCAAATGGCGCCGTATACGCATTGCAGGGTCCATCGAACCTGCACCAACCCTTTTGTCATTATCGGTAACGCCGCTTTTGATGCAAAAATATAAATCGGTCAAAAGGTGAACGACGTGCGTCTGTCGCAGTCCGTGTGACCCAAATGCATCGCGTTCTGCAGGGTGCATACTGCAGGCTACAGGTGTTGTGATCTTAAATGTTATTCATTCGTGATCACTAAATTATAACAGAGCCAAGACACGACACAGCTGCTACTCCAAGTATTATCGTCGCGATATAATATTATGTAGACGTGCTGCAGGTTGGGTCAGGTAGGTATAGGTGCTACGTATCTATATGATATTATTATTATTATAATATCGTACCGACGGAATCGTACGACAATTTATACCTGGAGCATATTATACAATCCGCGTGACTACCTTATTTATTTATTCTTCAAGAATATGATAATGGGCCCCATCACCGGAACCCGTTCGTGTTTATACGCGTACAACCCTTTTCCCGCGTATAGTGGTGAAGTTTTCCCATTCAACTCTCCGAGCCCGCCATTTCACCTGCTGTATAAGATCTTAAACATCCCTCCAAAAATACGTAGGGTTTGCCGCCAGTTTACAGAGCCGTTTTCGTGCGTTCGACGTTTTGAACTCACAACCATTATTGAAATCCTACAGCTTCATTGTTGAGTTTGCAAATATTATAGTATACCTATACCGAATATTTATACCTACATATAATATCTAGTAAAATAATGTACACGATTGATGCAAGTGTTATCAGCTAAGGCGTAAAGAATTTTAAACATTAATAAATATAGATATGGCTGATATATATACATATTTTATGCCGGTGGATATATCACAAATTAATAAGGAGTTATATCTATATGGTGTACCAGGAAAATACCTATAATAACTAAAATATTCACTAGGTATTCAAAATTCATATATTATACCTACCTATTATAAGATATAATATTTTTAGTTATTTTATGTTAATTAAATATACAAAATGTGTTAATGATATAAAAGTTGGTCTAACTAAATTGTAAAAAAAAAAAATACTAATATTCAAATAATTAATATTCTTTTTTGTTTATAATATATTTTAATTTTAGTCACTTAAAATTAAAATTAATTTTGATAATATACCGTGTGATTCTTATTTCATTTAACGTAAAGGTACGTTTTCCCTGCAGCTTCTAGCGCGACACTACCGCCAGGTCTACCGGTCCCGAAATCGGTCAACGACAAATTAAATATCTCGGACATTTTACAAAAATGTGAATTATTAATTTTTGTATTAGGTACTTATGGTTGAAATACGTCTTCAAGTAGTTGATACATAGATTTAACTTGCCCGAATTTTTTTTGATGCAAATGTAATGAATAAATTAATAATTAAAGCCATGCTATAAGTTATGTTTCTAAAACCTTTTATTCTTATTGAAAAATGTGCTAAATGTTTAAATATCTGCAGTCATTAAAGTCTTAATGAGTTAAATTATTTTAAAATACAAACAAGACGTATAATGAGGTATAAATTATATACTTAAACATATAAAAAATAATTTATTATTATTGTAATGGTTAATAATAAAAATTTAAATTTAAAATTTAACTATACAAATTAATGATATCAAAATGTACACTTCACATTGAGTTTAATAAAAATTGTCTATTATTATCTGACTAAAATAAATTGTAACTTGTTATTAAACTAGTTCACTTGATTTTTCTGTAAGTAATTGGTTTATCCGACCTTGTCCGACTCTGAAATTTATAACTATAGTCTATAATATTAATTTATATATTAATAAATAAAATACATATATTATATTATATTATATTTTATTTATATTTATGTTATATTGTTATATGTACCCAAATAATCAAAAAACAAAAGTACATTATTAGAATAAAAAAAAGTAGTGAATTAACATCTGTAAATGACCCATTGGAATAATTTTCCTTTTATAATTATAAATTACAAATCTAAATCATCAAAGAAATATAAGTATTGTAAATATCCGTGATTGTCTATTAATCACCCCCGCGCCTTGTTGTTCCACTGTATCCAGGGAAACCATACCTTTTAACATGTTGATGGGCAGTAATGTTAAAAGTTGATTTCGGGGGGCATTTTTAGATATTACCTACTGCTATAGCAGTATCATAAAAACTCTCCAAAAATTGTCATTACTGCTATAGCAATGATATTTTCAATGATGTCTTCTGAGGGGATAGATTGTTGTGTCCCCCGACATCTCAGAGGACAATTTTGCACTGCCCTATAGCGTAAAACCCTACAGCAGTACTAAAAGCTTTACTGCTATAGCAGTAATGAAAATTGACGTTTTAAGGATGGCTATTTATACGATGTACGTATTAAAGAATCCCGAACAAAAAGTTAAATATATAACTATATAAGAATATAAGATATAATAATATGTTATACATTTTAAAATTGACTGATGAAAATTATATTGTTAATATTATACCTACCTATTTTATTTTATAATATTTGAAAATGTATATATTTTATTTATATAAATTAGTAATTATACTGGCATTTTACGTTTTATAAATATAATTAAATATTTTAAGTACAAAAAAAGGTGGGCAAGTGAGTGTCGATCTGCTGTACAGTAGGTTACAAGTGGGTCTCTGTAATAACGGATATTCGTTTCCGATGTGTAAGATTACAAAATCCTATAAAACAATAATCAATCAATCAATGCATTTAGTGTTTATAAATATATTTATTCATTTAAAGAATAATAAGAGTTAAGACCACTGTAAACATTTGTAAAATATGTAAAATATAACTTTTATGATATTATTTATAATATATTATACCTACTAGCTGATCCCGTGCACTTCGTTACCTGTTAAATGTATCAACTCTATATGACTCAAACTTTGTTCAATTCATTATTTAATATTCAGTATATGGTGTTCAAAATTAACTTTTCCGTTGCCCGGAATAAAAATTCTGATTCGCAGCAGTACCTATATGATCAGGTAGGCAATCTACCTGCGGTAGATCGCGGACCCCGTGATGTTTGTACGTAAGTTTATAATTTAACTCTAAAGTATCAAAGTTATACTAAGTATGTTACTGAATTCCTCCCAAACGGTTGGACTAATTGTGAATGCCGAGTCTGTCGACCAATATTTCCTCCTCGTCCACTAATACGTCGGCAACGCGATTGTTTTATGTATCATGTAGGTACGTAACTTATATTATGTGAGTAAAACACGCTCAATATTTACGTAATTGTGATACATAACACAGCGTACAAAAAAATTAAATGCATTGAATGAATACACTTATTTCACGGCTACCAATAATAGCTTATAATAGTTTTAAAACCTATGGCAATCATTTATATACAAAAATTTCCATCGTAAATCTCTAAATACCCGTTTGAGCACATCCCCTTGTTGGACCTAGGGTGATGATTTGTAGCCTATGTGTTATTCTGATGTATAAGCTATGCATATTATTGTAAAGTTTCATTAAAATCCATTCAGTAGTTTTTACGTGTAAGAGTAACAAAGTCACAGACTTTCGCATTTATAATATGAATAGGATAGGATATTTCTGCAGAAATAACACGTAGGTTTTTACTAATTTTTACTTTAATTATCATTATTTTGATAATTTGATCATATTTGATGTCTTTTTCCTTAATATATTTGAAAACACAAACCCAGCATTGATCTGTGGCTGTGGGGGTAATCAGCTAAACTGTAGTAAAAATCAAATATATTGTGTACCTATATATTATTATAAATATTTTTCTGTTAACATTTTTTTTTTCGTAAGGGAATTATAAATCAGCATTTACTATTAAACTATTTAAGTCCAAACATTATAATATATTTAATTAAAACTACGTATTTGTTTATCTAAGTAGTATATCGTAAATAAATATATTTAAATGTATAACAATTTTTTTACTATCATAATAAATTACGAAACTACACCGGACATCACACCATGCACGACTTGCCGGACTACGCTGTCACTGTGCAATGTACCAGCAAGTGTCAGACCTTTCCTCCATGTACCACCTGCCAGACTTTACCGCCGTGTACTACGTGCCGGACTTTACCACCATGTACCACCTAGCTGCCAAACATTACCGCCATGTACCTGCAAGTGCCAGACCTTCCCACCTTGCACCAAGTGCCAGACGCTGCCACCTTGTACCGCATGCCGAACTGACTTCGTGTGTACCACATATCGGACAATACGACCTGGCCCAAGTAGATATTCCTCAGAAGCTTAATCACACGCATCCGCCGTCAAATAAAACACACAATGAACTTAATTATTTACTAGTTGCACTAAATATTTAGGTAATGCAATTAAATATAGAATAACGATTCTGTAAATAATTCAAGGTTTTGTTTTACAGCGGCGGCGGCGTGTGGTGAAGCTTCTGAGGATTTTCAACTTAAGAGGTCGTATTGTGGTACACGAGGTGAGCGTTCGACATGTGGTGCAAGATGACAGCGTCTGGCACTTGGTGCAAGGCGGCAGCGTCTGGCACTTGGTGCAAGGTGGCAAGGTCTGACACTTGCAGGTACATGATGGTAATGTTTGGCAGGTGGTACATGGTGGTAAAGTCCGGCACGTAGTACATGGCGGTATAGTCTGGCAGGTGGTACATGGTGGAAAGGTCTGACACTTGCTGGTACATGGTGGTAAGGTCCGGAATTTCTTGCACGGTGGCAGCGTAGTCCGGCAAGTCGTGCATGGTGGTGATGTCCGGCAGGGCGGCATTGTGCGTCGATGTGGACATTCATGCGTTCGACAGTTGGTTGACGGCGATGGACGGTTACCGGTTTCCTTTGGACAGCTGATGTGTGGAGGACGGTATCCGTTTTCCTGCGGAACGTCGTGGTACGGTGGACAGCTCCCTGTTACCTGCGAACCGACGATGTACGGATAAGAGTGTTCGGATACATGCGAACAGTCGCAGATCGGTGATGGAGATGACGATCGAAATTTCGAATCGGCGGCCGTATACTCCATTCCTCTCAAATGTTGCGATACAGGGTTGGACTTCTTCCGTGGATCCGGAGGGACGTGACTCAAAACCACGAGCCCACCCAATGATTCCGAAAAGATGAAGAAACATAGAAATAATATTATTGTAACCGAATACATCTCAACTCAAAAATAAGACTCAAGGCAAAACGAACAGATAGGATGGCCGGAAAATAATGTTTAATAATTAGACATAATAATGTTTATTATGTGTTTTCAATATTTTTAAAGTACGTTGACAACCGTTGCCGACGTATAAATGTTTTTTAGCCATATTTTTTTTATATAATAGTCATTATTCGTAGAAACTATTGTTTAGATACACATAAAAGGTTTAAAAAATGGTTTTTTTGTTATATATTACACTAGCTGTACGCCTGTACTATACTCGACTTTGAACGGAACAAAATGAACAATTGCACAATACGGTGCTCCGTGGTGTATTTTGTATTGAGTGTACCTACCTCAGATCACAGGGATATTAGAAAAAAAAGTCCCCTCGTAAATTAATTCTAAAAAAGGTGGGTAAGTGGATGTCGCTCTGCTAAGATATTGAACTGTGGATCGAATACGTCATATAACACTGTCTACTTATAAAGTATACAATACTATACATATATTATATGTTACCATCAATGCCTAATCATTGTTAAAGCTAGGATTTATTAGTTAATACTATGATTTCCTATTTTTATACTCAGCAAAAGCTGAAAATCATAATTTTATTCTTGCTTTTCTAAAAACATTGTGTACACCCTAGGATGTACAAATTGTATTTGTGAAAGCTGATTTATGCATTACTTTTTATTATAATAAAAATACTATTGTAAGTTCATAAATTAATAATAATATATTTATATTTATTATATAAGTAGATTTAATACAAAATAATGTGTGGTGTTCGAAAACCGAAAATATAGTGAGACCCTAGAAATATTCTTCGTACTTATAATAGTATAGGCATAAGCACAAAGCACAACGTTTCCATCACATATTATACTTAATCTTATTTTAATAGCTATCTTTTAAAATTAATTGTGATCTCTCAATAGCTGAGTCATTTTATTACATAGGTATTAATATTATTCATCATTATATTTTGGGGAATATAATTTTTATTATCAATTAAAAAGACTATAATATATTTTATACGTTCTTATTATTATTATGTATAAAATAAATAAATAAAATTATTATTATATGCACGAAATGTAATAAACTTATAATAATTATTACTGTCAGTCAAAATGTTATAATAGGATTTCAATAAATTTTAATCATAATATGTCATTATATAATGTTGAAATAATGAAGTATACCATGGAAACAATAATTCGCATTGAATTTATTGTACCTATAGTACTTTTATATCCCATATTCGTATGTGTAAGCAATCATTAAATTTATCACTGCATATAATTACTGTACATCGTTCATTGTTATGCAAACAAAACCATATATACGTATGAAAGTAACTTCTATAAACCAAAAAATATCCTACAGTTCAAAAAACAGAGGCGTACCCAGGATTTTTTTATGGGGGGTCCAAAATTTTTATTTTAGCGGTGTCTCTAAGTATAATTTATAGTTAATTTCATTACCAAATATTACTGTGAATAACTATAATATAGTTACAATAGTCATATTATACACACCTCACAGTACCTATACAGAAAGGTTTATAATCAAGAGTAGGTACTATAATTTGTAATGTAAATGTGATATCGCAATGGGGGGGAGGCCGGACCCGACCCCCCCTTGGTTACCCCCTGGGTCAAAAGAACCTCTCTATAAGGTAATATAATATATTGTAAAACAATTAAAAGTGCAATAGTTCCAAACAGTTCATCAATAATCATAATAATAATAATATGTGTCGATTGGACTTATGAATGTTTGACCACTATTATTACCTATTTTTATATCATGAGTAGTGAGTACCTACTACATTATTCGTATATAATGCTGCAACTTGTTTGAGCACACTCTATAGTTTTTACCTGATAAATCGGAACTCGTTTGCTCGATGCTCGGAATACTGGTACGGTCCATACCATTTATAACAAAAGAAATAAAAAACGCGGAAAACTGGTACAATTCAAAATTTAATTTTCAGGGGTCCTAAAATATTTACAATGTTTATTATATAATTTTGATAAATCACCATCGTCAACAAGTTAAATTTAAATAATACTTAAAACAAAAAAAAATATGTTAGCAATCAAAATTACCAAAAAACACCAATAAGTACATACAAAGTAGCAGGCAGGTAAAATAAATATAAAATATAGGTACAATAAATATAATATAATATATGATTAATAATAATTATTTCGTATACTTTGCTATATTATTTAAAAATTGTCCTAATTGAATTTCTTTATTTAAGAAGTTCTCACATTCGTTGTATAGTTTGTCTTGCAAAGTACATTCCAGAAGTTTAGAGAAAATATTGGGCTCCTAGACTTCCCACTAACATAAGTTTCGTCTAAATATTTTAGTAACGGTAACAATTCTACAGGTGTCGTTGTATATAAATAAACCATTCCATCTATTACTTCACTAAAGGGTAAAACATTAAAACGCTAAAGCGTCAATCATACCGTAACTTATTCTAAAATCTATGTTATCTCTGTATAAGGAACATATATACCTAGTTGTTGAGCTTATCGCCATGTAGATTGGCATAAATGTCCACATTAGGTATAATTTTTATTGAAGTAATAACACACTCAATTCACTAATGCGAATGATATTGTACTGATGAGAACTTTCTGTATATTATAGTTCATGACATTTATTGATTAATAGATATTTATCGTATCTTATCGTTATCGCATTATTTTCACTCGCAGTCACTCGTGAGTCGTGTTTTCCAATCGATCGTCGGTAAAATAAAATTAAAAATAATCGTTGATATTTTATTCTTTTTTTTTTCATAAAAGTTTGAGAAACCTTTACTATTGTGAACCGTACCAGTATTCCGCGTTTATACAGACCGTACCAGTTTACCCGTTTGCTCACACTGATGACTGATATATTAAATGTACAACTGGTTTGCGCACACGAAAATAATTATAGTGGTGACAGATCATCGACCAAATTAAATACATTCTAATAATGGGAAACTGTTATTATATATTTTATTAAAATTAAAATTAACATGCATTTTTAATAACACCTATGAATACATTCATATACAGTGCTAAGTCTGTTGAGGGGGAAGGAAAATGTATGCAAGTACTTTAATAATTTACTTATTAAGTAACAAATATTAATATGCAAGGTATTAAACTAGTCTAAAAGGTAACTGTGCGCAAACCATGTACATGGTTACGGCTCAACTGCTCCCAAACGAGTGGTAGAGTTGTACCCAAACAAGTTGTCTTTTTGGCATTTGTGCACAAACCAGTAACGCCCACATAATGTTTATAATTTACTTTTGAATTGTTTGCAAGTCTTTACCTACCAAAATCCCCTATCCTCGCGAAAGGCCGAAATGGTTCGCCTAAGAGATCTATTGAACTTCGGTCTTCAAAAGTTAGATATGTGGGCGAGTGTATCTGGCCCATGGGCGTTCAAAGTTTCCCTTATAAAATCATTAGGAATAATTTATGTGTTTCATTGTTTTATTATTAATGTACAAGATATATACTTTTACACCGCTCATTTCGGATATACTTTGTTGTTTGTTATAATGGATATATTTTGATCGGTGTAAGACGCAAGCATGTCAAACTCGAAGTATTACTAACTGGGCCAAACGCGTGTTAAATAGATTATTATATAACGAGAGCTTCACAGAAAAACTTATTGACGAAAAAATATTTCATACAAATGTTTAATAATCGTAAGTATCAATTATTAAGACCACATTATGGATATTATTAAATTATTTACGTATTTTAATTTTAATTATTTATTATACTATAATATTATTTAAGTTCTGATCAAAAAAAAACTAACTAATTATTTACCTAGGTACTAGTACTATAGATAGGTATAAATTATTATTTTCACTTAGTCTTGGTGAGTCACCTGACTTATCCTGGTGAACGCGGGACACAAAAAAAGAAGAGTCGAGGGCCAAGCGTCTGACCCGTAGCATAGCTGTGGGCGGTTGGGGGTGGGGGGTCATCCCATCTCCGTGGCCCATATAATATATTTTTTTAATTATATATTATAATATGAGGGATATTCAGAGGATGTCAGCGCACCATTTGTTTTCTCTCCCTGACCTCCGCACAACATAGCAAATTTATGTTAAGCAGAACCAACCCTGTGTCGTTACTTTTAATAATAGAGTGAATTCACCTATCATCAAACTTTAAGTTAAGAACATTACCACACGTCCTTACTTTGGCTTTATTTACGAAATTTAATTTTTTAGCAATTTATTAAGATTATTAAATTGTAATAATTTACACTCTTGTATAACTTACATAAAAAATAAAATATCATAAAATAACCAACGTATAGGGACACAGATAATGTTCTTAACTTAAAGTTTGATAATAAGTGAATTCACTCTAATATTAAAATTAAAAACACAGGGTTGGTTCTGCTAAACGTAAACAATATGGTATGTTTGACGTGAGTCAGAGAGAGAGAAATAACAAATAGTGTGCTGACAACCTGCTCTTGAGGAAAATTAGATTTTATAAAATATGTTTTCTATCATTATAAGTTTATTAATGTTTTATCAGGTATTTGCATATAGCATTTATATAATTTATGATAATTTATACGCCGTGAAAACCATGGGTTTTAAATAAGTTTTTAAAATAACGAAATTAAATGCTTATCTGAGCATTTGGAAGTTTTAATTTTAATGTGATTTGTTAATATTGTCGTATAATTAATGTACAAATAATTTTCACTATTTTTTGTAAAAAAAACTTTGACCTATAATATTGCATTTTAATCTATTCATTTATTATTTGCTTTTATTTTAGATCGTAAGCTGTAGATTAAAAACCATGGTTGTGCTCAATGGCGTGTTAAAGGTATTATTTTGGAGCAATTGCTCCTTCAAAATTGTTGGTTGGTGGGGTGTCCCCCTGCCACAAAATAAATAGCCACCTATAGGTGACTTGGTATATAGTAGAAATATCATATCCGATTATACAAATCGTTTCAAATGTACGCATATTTTGTAAATTTTTAATTTAAACTTTTTTTGCTGAATTTTTACTGAGGTTACCTTGTATACATTTTTGCTCCTCACCAAAAATGAGTTCAACACGCCACTGGTTGTGCTCAAGAATGTGGGCTAAAAACGAATATCTAAGTTAGTGCTATCTACTTCGTATTATCTTGACATTAATAAAGAAATGGCTATACTGCTATAGATAGGTATTCGCAGTGAATAATAATATTATTACTTAAATTTATTGTTTTGTATCAGATTTATATATTACTTGATAAATTAAATTAAATCTACCTACCCTACATGTGCTTTTTACATTGGTATACCAATACCACTTTATAACCAAATACTTATTACATACGGTGATTATTTTCTTATTTCCTAAATTAAGAATACTACAAATCATTACAAGTAATTAACTTTAAAATGTAAACACATATGACATATGAATATATAATATATGACTCCAATATGCAGGGTTATGAAATATTACATTTGATTGTCATTTGGTAAAAGAAATAATTACGGTTAGCCGAAATGTGTTCTACATTTTAAGTATCTAGGTATTATTAGAAAATACTGCATATTTTACAAAAATGAATATATGTATATAAATAATCATCAATATACCTCTGATTCCTTAAAGGAGGGTCCAACGTAGTAGCATATTATAGTATGATTGAGAGACGGTAAAAACCCAATTCGATTCATCAAAAGAGCCGATTTATAAAGATAGAAAACCTTTTAAATTTAAAATTATGACAATCCATTTACAAACAGTCCAAGTCCGACAATGTTTAATGTAAATACTGTTGTATATCATACGACGTAATGTAATTATTTTAGACACTAATGGCCGCACACAGTCGAGGGGTGATATTAAAAAAAAATCGATAATAATATATTAATATGTAGGTAACCACCGACTAAACTATACCATTATTTTATTAATTTTATCAATTATTTTTATCATTTTATATTCATATACTATATTAAACATGTATATTGTATACAGTACCTATGTCACTGTAACTCGAATGTGACGAGAAATATTTCGAAATTTAACAATGTGAACGTACCGATATGTATAATAGGTAGGTACCAAACAAAAACTCAACTAGCCGTGTTCTATGCGGTCTTGTAAATTTAAGCTCGTCTGTATATTTAATATTAATAATATTATATAATATTACAATTATGATAATATAATATTATATATTTATATAGGTAGGTCATAGGTATATTTTAGACCATCATAAGTTTATTGTTCGTAATAAAGACCAGGTAAGTACTTGTATTCCCGTACTTATATTCATTTGGCAGTTAAGTAATAATAACTTATGATTGTCAGTCAAAAATGTTATTAATTAAATTAAATTTAGCTAAACAATTTAACCATTATTCATTAGGTACCTCAGTTTATTATAAAAGTATTGAAATATTCAATGCGAACGGTAAAATTAAATTGTATTAATTCTCTAGTAGGTATACCTATAGGTGTATTCATTATATTTATTTTATCGTGAACGTTGCTTATAATTAAAATATAAAATATAGATAAATGTGCTACCTAAGACCTACCAAGGAATATATTAATTTAAAAATATATTACAAGAGCTTAAGGTAGACCGTAACGTTGAAAACATAATATATTAATATATACCACTAGAAACATTTAAGCTCGTTATGTTTATCAAACTTTAAAAACCTAAAAGTTATTATTGCTGAATTATTAATTAATTCAAAGTATATAGTAAGTTGTAATCAGTAAAATTCGATTGAAAATAATTAGTTAGGATATAGCCTATACGCAGGCCCGAATTGGGGCGGCGGGCTACTAGGACAAAGTCCGATGGGCCCCACCTGTTTGAGTTCCGATCCAATAACAAGGTATAAGTGGTATAACTCGTAGGTACCTAACTAACTTTGTTAACCAGACAACTCATCAAATTAACTCTTTGAATTTAAAATTGTATATAATATATTATTATTCTACATAGGAGCATATAATATTTAATCAATGGTAGTACGAGTACCTATAGAAAATTTCAAATTAAAAATTACAGAATTGTTTATTTAAATTGAGAAATATCTGGGCTACAGTCTACATCAAATAGCTGGTAAACAGTTAATTTAAAATGTTTGACACAGTAATATTAGGTATAAAAATATTAAATGAAACCTTTAATAATATATTATAGCTGATCTCCTGATATACAGTGGTACTTACCTCCTATTCACCATTCATTTGGAAACAAATCTATCGATTTATCAATTTGTTATAATAATTCTTACCATTTTTAAAGGATATTTAGATGGCTTGACATCCAATATAATTAATTCATCAAAGAGATATGTACCCACCTATTATAGGAGGAACATATTATTATTTTATTTTATTAATATATAAATACAATTCTTGATATATTTGCACTTAAAAGGTACTATACCAATTAGGTACTTACCAACCAAAGCTATAGGTAGCCAACGTAAAATAATTTATAAATAGGTAGGTACGGTAGGTAACCCTCAGGCCACAGATAAATATGGGAAACATGATACTACAAAAAATGTAAACAGTAGGTATAGTACAATATTATTTAATAAAGCATAGGTAAAATATAGTTCCAAAACTACATTTTACACTTACTACCTACAAAAAGTAAATAAATTCAAAATTGTATGTTTTGATGAGGATTTTGGGGAAAATTTTAATATTTATTAATAAATCATAAATTTAAATGTGAATATAATTCATTTGTTTTTTTTCCATAAACATGTTTAGTATGCATAATTTTTGAGTGTTACTATTTTAGTGATACTCACTCAAATAAAAAAGTACAATGTAAATTATTTTTGATAAATTTCGTATTCCAAGTAGTATATAGGTACCACCTAAAAGTGTAGTGTCAGCAGAATAAGCATATTAAGTAACATAAACATTTTTTTATTTAATCAATAATGTATTGTGTTTGTAGGTGTGACTAAAGAAAAAACCCTCCAATGTAATGTTTTAGCTAAAAACAATAAAATTCAATTCTATAAATTAGATTGACTTTGCGTGACATACATTTTATGGTAAAATTGTTTTTCACAAAATTATAAACTCATAACAAGTAACAACTAGTATTTAGTAACATAATATATTACCATCCCGGCAATAATTGACCTTGATAGTTGATTTGTTAACATTGCTGTAATGATATTATGAAATCATTATTTTTTTAATTAACACCAGATATTACATTTACATGATTAAATATTTTAATTAGTTTAATGTATATGACGAGTTTAAGTCACAAATAATTTTAGTGCTGAATAATTATTATTCGTCGAGACTACTCCCTTTTATGTGATACTCCAAAAATTCCTACACAACTTGGTTCTCGGACACTGACCTAAATGTAATTACATCTCTGCTCAACGGCTCATTGGAGGCTCCCGACCTTCTATTCAGTATAGATATACGTCTTGTCTCTGCATACTTATACAGAAACCATTGACCATTCCTTCTGTTAGGGTTTAATGTCCCATCCCACGCCATTTCCTCTATAGTATGGCCGCAATCAGCATATTATGCACAGAATGCTATCAATGCCAACAATCTTATGAATTATAATTTTTGACTTAGTTCTGTGATCCTAATGTGTAAATTGTTTTGGATTAATGTATCGCTGTCAAATATATTTCATTGTACATAATACAAGTTTTACCAATGTGTAATAATATGTAAAAAAAACAAAAGACAGTTTAGGCGTTAATAAACAAATAATAATAATTAGGTATTGTTTACCAAAACACTTATCACATTTTTAAAAGAGTTCCAAACCGTCATTTGGTAGCATAACATTATATTATCTGATTAAATATAAGGAACATAACAATAGAAGAAATGTATAAAGAATTGAATAAACTTAAAAAACCGCACTTAGTAATAAATATTAACTTTATTTCTTCGGTTTTCACTTGTTAATTATAAGTGGAAAAGTGGAAATGATTAAAAAAAAGTACATTATTACATATTATTCAGAGTTAATTTAGTACAATATTGTTCTGTTGATTGTGATATTTACAATTATCACATTTGTGATGCATAGGTTTATATATTATAAATTATTGTACGATCACTTATGTGGTGTCCATTAAAATATCATGACTATATTATTACATTAAATTATGACTTAGAAAAAATATAGTTTAGCTTAACATAATACTACAACAATGTTTGTGCCTACAATAAATTATTAAAATACAAATTTGAATAAAGAAACCAGCCCTAACTGACTATTGACTAGAACGGCCTGTAATTAGTATCAAAACAATTCACGGAGAATCATTTTCATTTCCCTTACTTAATTTTAATAACCAATAGTTTATTAAATATACAGTACAATAATTATGTCTATATAACAATAACAACAATAATAAAACTTAATTTTACAAAAAAAGCCAGTCTTCCTGGCTTACCATTGTGTGCACACCTGGTGCTTACACCTAAATAATTATTGAATAAAATCAGTCATTTTTTTTCTATTTGTTAAAATATGGATTATGTTAATACAATTTATATAAAAAAACTAATTTGTAAGAATATGAAGTTAAAAAAAAATATGCATATATATATATATATAAATGTATTTCAATCAACCGAATAGATGACAAGGCGGTCACATAAAAATTAAAAAAACAGTTGATAACATATTATAATATTAAAAATGACTGATGAAAACTATTTAAATTAGCAATGTTTGGCAATAGTTATTTACAAAAAATAATAAGTAATAAAAAAGTTAACAAAAATGCCCTAAAATAATAACAGAAAAACCAAGGAAGACAATATTTATTTGTATATCTTAATAACGTCCTTAATGACAGCACGGCAAATTGGACAACGGCCCAAACGGACCCACTGCTTCTTAGCGCATTCGTAGCACATGCAAAGGTGACCGCATGTGTACAAAGCACAGTCAACTGCTCTTTCGAAACAAATCGAACATTCTCCTTCACCGGAAGGTATTTGCTGAGGAAAAAACAATTTCAATTATTACTCATGTGTTACTCGAATACATAAATTGTGTACTCTGCACCATCATACGGGCACAAAGTAACATTATTTTATTAATATCATGGCCAGGTCGTTTGTCTTACCTCTGGAAGATGTGGTTGTTGGACGACAACAGGAGCGGCTCTTGGCTGTATCTGTTGGATGGTGACGGACGGTGGTCTAGCAGACATCTGTTGGTGCTGCTGCATGCCGGAAGACGCCTGAGATAGGGCCGGCGACGGATGGCACATCTGATTGTTCTGGGCGGCAGGTAAGTTGACGATGAGCACTGTGCCGCCGTTGGCGTCGGTGTTCACTTCTAGGATGTTGGACCGGACCATCGGTTGCTGCGGCGCGTAGCACACGGTCGGCGAAACCGCCGAGACCGTCTCGTAGGAGGTCGACGGTTGCGGTGAGGAGTGGACGATGGCGTTCGGGGAGCAGCCCATGGACGGCCTGGACAACATTTTCGACACGACGATCTGCGTGGTCGTGCCGTATATGTCGAACACGCCCCACAGCGTTTGAGAGTGGTCCACGCACATCAGCACGATTTCCGGGTTTCCGTTTTTGCTGCACAATACTTCGCCTGGAACAAATAAAAACACAAACCGTCAAGTCCTGTTTCCGGAAAACGTGTCACTGCGTTTAAATATATTTTACGAGGCCAGAACGGCTTCACCCATACACGGCTATTATATTTTATTTTATGACAACATTCATATTATTATTTAGCCAATATTTATTGGTTTTAAAATGTTACATCATAATATTGTCGTTCTTAATATAACAGTTGATTACAGTGCATGCGCCTCATTAAAATTATAGCTATGCAATGAATATTGTTATGTACCGTTGTTGTTGATGGAGAATATCAGCACGTCGCCGGGTTTGGTGTCTTCCGCGACGTTCCTGCTCATGACCCAGTACTCGCGGCGGTCGACCAGCTGGTTGGGGTCGTCGGGCAGCTCACCGATGCCGATGCTGCTCGGGTCGCAGCACGTGACGCCGAACGACAGGCTGCCCACGTACAGCTGACTGGTTTTTGTGATCTGCACCAGGTATTTCTCGCCGATCTGCAGCGGCTGTTTCGTGAACGTGTAGCCCTGGAAGAAGGCCGTCGACAGCCTGGTGCCCACGCACGGAACACCGTCTTTCATGCTGATCATCACGTGGCGGCCCTTGCGCACCAGTCCCAGCGGTTCCACGTTGTCCGCGGATTGGACGCGCGGGGGAGACGGAACTGTTGAAGACGACAAGGTCACGGCGGACATCTGAGAGGAGATTTCAAGTTCATCGCTATAGGAGAAAGACGGAAAAAACGAGTTAATATCGCACCCAACAGTATATTTTTATAAATATTATTGTGAGGTATCGCGGACATCACTCGAATATCGATGATGGAAATAAATGGACGTAATCACCGTCATCCCTATAGTTTATATACTACTATGTAGAGAGTATACGCAGGTACAATACGTATTTAATTCAATAGAAAAAAATGTTTTTAAATTATACACCACAGGTCGATAATTATTGTAGTCAAGCAAGCGCGCCCGTAGGATACAATCCCACCCGGGGCAAGATATAAGAATTATACTTACAATCTAATAATAGTGATATTGATATTTAAGTGCATGTAATCAAAAATTCCCAGGGGGGCGAATGGCCTCTTTTCCCCCCTCTCCCTGCGGGCGCCCTCGTTGTCGAGTGTATATAGATTTGAAAACGATAGTTTGAATTTTTTACAATGGTATTATACACAACTGCAGGCGATTTCGTTTGACACCCCCTCCAAAATTCAACCTGTTGAATGGAGCCTTTGCGCGCAATGTGTACCACCAAAATATCTAATCTCGATGATATTATACTGCGAAAGGATTTCAATAGATTTTCGTGTGATGAGGTGTCTGTTAAGTATGTGTTTACTGTTTATTCAGTATTATACCTTATAATATTATAACTTTAGGGCACGAAATCCGTCTATAAACACGTACCTTCTGGATATCCTGTTGTTGTTCAGCTGCGGACGGCAATCGAGAAACTCGACGATGGTCGAATTACCGTAAATGTCCAACAGCACCCAGAGAGGCGATCTGGTGTCAATGCCCTGCATGAACACGCCTTTGGACTCGCCGTTGAGGCCGTAGTGCACGTCACCGCCCGCGTCGACGTAGAAAAATAGTAAGCCGTCGTGGACCGCGTGTCGTTCGCTAAGCGCTTTCGCCCAAAATCCTGATTTGCTGGTCAGATCTGGAGGAAGAACGAGATAAATCGAAAATAAGTAAAAATATAAAAAATAAAGCATATAATAATATCTTCGGGGTACATAATAATATTATAAAAACAAATAGTGGAATATGATATCGTTATATATATATTATATCGATCACTTACCGGGACAAGCGTATTTCGGCACTTTCTTGACGTTCGACGGGTCTTCGCTGGTGAACCCGAACCGGAGTACGCCGCTCCAGTTGTCGGATATCTCCAGGAACTTGATGTACACCTTTTCGTTGATGGCAACCGGCCGACTGCTGAACGCCACTCCTTTGCAAAAGCTGTCCACCCGTCTGGCGACGAACCCGTCCTTGTACAACCGGACATTTTCGCCATGCACGTTATGAAATCTTAATGGCGGCAGGTTAGGATTGACGGCGCCGGTTCCCGATTTCGGAGCTGTAAACGAAAAAAGACCGTTAGAGACAACGATAAACAACACTGCGCGTATATGTTTGTACAACAATAATATGTTGTTGTTGTACAGCGCGCTGAAGACTATATAATATTATTAGGTTATAATTTTAATTAATTTTTTTTTAAATGTAATCTCGGTACGACAAATTCACAAGTACAATAATAATATTGGGTGTGTGTGTGTGTGTGTGTGTGTTTGTATGTATGTGTGAGGCCGTGTGGGTATACGAAGCGAGGAATCGTCGAGTTTCTTTCATTCGGCGATTGTCACGGTCGAGTTTCCCACGACGACGACGACGTACGGTTAATATAAAAATGTGTTTCGTACGTACATATCATAATATTATTATATCTATAGGTATGCCATTACGATTGGTGTGGGACAATGTGAGTGGCTCCCTACACATGGTGACTGCGTATTATATACGTACGATGACCGCGACAATGCACATGAAAAGCGGCCGCCGATGGCCGTGGGGTAGTCGAATGTGACATGTCATAAATGGAACAATGAGATGACGGGCCAGTACGGTATATATAATAATAAAGCCGGAATCGAGTGTTTAAGATTTTTCGGTCCCAGTTACGTTAGTTTTCTTTATGAACGTTGTCGATTATATTTTAATTACACAATAATATGGAACTGCAGTGGTGCTAGAGTACAAAAACCAGAAAGACGCCGCCGCCGCCGCTTTTCGATTCGACAATTTAATATTATATTTTTTACATAGAAAGATTCGAATCGGACTCAGTCGTCGCATCAGACCAAACCGAGATGAAAATATAAAATAATAAACAAAAAACTACTCGGCAAGTAACCTCAGATATGGTAGTCGGTTTCGTGTATATTATAATATATTATTTATACTCAATTTTCCCCCGGCAGACCGTGAACTGCATACAGCGTACTAGCGTAGTATGTTTCGCATGTGTGGTTGCCAGGTGGTTGAACGCGCGTTAGTGATTCGTATATCCGGTGGTTCAAGCGGGCACGTAAAAAAGGGTTATTATAATATACGAAAGACGCTCATAATAATATCACATACACGACACGACGACGTCTTGGAGTGTGGGTTTACGACGAAAACCGAATGACTATAAACAACGCGAAGGAAAACGGCCCACTAAATCGGTTAGAAACGTCGTACGAGAATATCATAAAATATACAATTGAACGTTATCTCTGCAGCGGTAGGGAACACATAATATATTATAATATGGGACATATTATACTAATATTATACATGTTATATGCATACGAATTCGCGTATTATTATAATAATATATATGTAGGTACATTATTTAATATCATAATCCATATGATAATATGATACGAATTATAATAATAACGATATCGTTACGCGCACGCTATTATAACGGGAACTTTGACGAGCATCACGCACGAGTCGGAGACTCGAGGACTGTGGAGGCGGCGATAGACGGCCAGGGGGTTGGGGATCTGGGCCCACCGCCGACGACCTGCGCGGTACCTCCACGTCAAGTATTTAATAATAATATAATATGCGTAGTACGTATAAAAGATGATATTATTATACACGTATATATATATAATGATAAGAGCGTTTCGATTACTCGGTCGCATTGTTCGCGGGCGCGCGAAAGACAAAACCCGCGAGATGTTCTCGAGTGAGAGAGAGAGACGGAGAGTGAAAAACCAACCTATATAGTGGAGAAAAAAAATTATAATATTATATTATTATTACGCACGCAACAAGAGGGGAAACGGAGACGATCCGGTCTTGTGCACTAGAAAATTTCGTATTACAATCAAGCGAGGGGGACCGGTCTTATTGTGTGCTGCGCGGGGCGCGCGGTTTCCGGTGTCCCGCCCGCCCGCCCATCACGCACAACCGCGGCTGGTTCTCGCGCACGTCCGCCGGAAGTCCGAATTCGTAGAGCGCCAAAGACGACGTTTAAAAAACGACACGATCGCGGGGCACAATGTATACTCTTCAGCTGCGCAGGCGCACCGTCACGGCGGTCGAGATCGCGGTCATTATGCAAGGGGGGAAGATGGAGCTCCCGGTTCGGGAGAGATATAAACCGGAAATAATCTTCGGTAAGGTATTATTTTTCTTGGTTTAAAAAGTGTGAAAATAAAATTATAATCAAAACGTATATATGAACACAATAATATAACACAATATCACCGCCTACATCGCTGCACGCCGATTGACACGCGTATTATAAATGTGTGTCCGTCCGTGTGATTTTTGGCACCTAACGCTATATTTTTGTATGGCGCCTTGATATCTTCCGAGTCTTTATTTTCGAGTTATTTATATCATGTCTGTTGATTGTGGTGTTCTACTGTGATACCGAAAATGTTTATGATTTAACCGCGAGAAAAGTGGTCAGGCTGTCTCATATGCGTTATATTGCGTTATTCGAACACTACGTAGTCCTTTTAAACCCCTAGCAGCCGAGCCCCCGGGTCATTGGCGCAACAAGGGACATTTTTCTGGGGGGCCGGCTAAGCCCGGAGTCTCCCCCTCCTCTAATTGCTCCAATGTCCCGGGCACAACAATAAATTATGTTACAATGTTACATACATATTATGTATATTATTGGTACAATTATGAAGGTAAAAACAATAATAATATCATATTATTATTTTAATAATCGCATCATATCGGAAAACCGCAGCGGCCGCCGCGCGCATTTAAATGGATCACGTCGGCCGTACGGCGGCGCTTTTTGTGTATGCGTATCAGGCACGGGCGGTTACGAATAATAAAAATAAAATAAAAAATAATAGTAATAATAAACCGTGAGAACGGAATGATGTCACTCTGTGCGCGCAGAGTGAGCGGCCAAAACGGTACGACATAAAATTTACTATATACTACACTCTGCACTCGTCCGTATTATTTGCGCAATGACATCGTAGGCACAACCTATTATCGGTACATTATTATACTCGAGCTGTACGTACACCATGATAGCTGGTACACGATCATTACGCACGGAGACGTACCTATATTATTTATATGTATTATTAAATCGTGTAGATACCCGGAGAGAGCCGTCACGTTAAATCCCCGCACACGTTATTATTTTTACGACGGTTGACAATAATATTATCATCAATGCGATAATAAGGACGACGTACCCGTAATATATTATTATCACCGTACCTACGTGTGCGCCCAAACCTGATATTATAATACGGCGGTTCGTTCGATATCCATATAACCCGGGATTACCGCGTCGGACCGATATCTACTATAATATAATTAATAATATTACGTGACATAACAATATTAAAATAACTATAAAATGTGCACGTCGCTTACGGCCACCGTCGTCGTCGTCATTTCGCAGCATCGTCCGTCCTTCAGCTCTCGCCGAAAATCCGATCGTCCGTCATATTATTATTGGATTATTACCTACCTACGCCTATTACGCACGGCGTCTGGCAGGGAAAATATTAATATTATTGTTGTTATATTATATGCAGCACGCGCTCATGGAAAAAACGACGACGGGGAGAATGCAGCCGAAAAACATAACGGTTTTTCGTTGTGCTCGCAAATCATCGTGGTGGGGGGGGGGGGTGAGTTCGGCGACCCGAGGGTATTATAATATTATATATCGTAGTGTCGACCCTCGTGGGAACGCGGGCCATCTGTAGCTATTCTCGGGCGGCACTTTGCGATGGACCGACAAGGCCGTTAATCCCTGTATTGGCGTCGCGTCCCCGGGGGTGTACATCGCTGTGCTCGTACCGGCTTTATGCTCTCGGCGGACAAGGGCGAAAAGTCGAGAGAAAACCAAACCCGCGGGGGCGTGTATCACAATACACACGCGATGAGCAACATGCGATCGAGCGAGTACATTTTATAAAACAAGGGTGCGCGTTTGGAGGATTTTACAATTTAAATTTTAAACTACAACTCAAATGATCGGCCGTCATATCCATACCAGATATACCCTACGCATCATATATTATGCATGTACATCTATAATATAAGCCAGTACGAGTGGACGCAGAACGCGACTACCCTCTCTAGACGATAATGCGATCATGTGAAGAAGAGTAATGCAATATTAATAAAACCACTGCGACATCTAAAAAATGCTCCTCGGGGACTGTACCACTTGTAGTGCGTAGGTATTATACTGTCTAAAATAAATTGTACGGGTGCCGCAAAATGTACGAGACTGTCGACGACGACAATAATTGAAGGATCGCGTTAATTTTGGTTAGTTAAGGGAGAATTAAGTCGACCGGCGAGTCTGCAGCGACTGACAATTTGTCATCATTATTATTATTATTAACGACCGCGGCGGACGACGTGCCTTACACGGCGGCGACGGTAATTAACACGTCGGTGGCGCCGGCGTAATACATATACGAGACGGTAAAAGAGACTTACGACCGGTACGTTATTCTTTCCCGGTTTTAATTTTTTTTATACTCAATCTCACTTCACCACTATATTCGTCTATAATAATGTGTACAGTGCTATTGTCATAAAGTTTTGCACGACTGAGAAAGCCGGAAAACGGAGGCGACCGTACATTGTGCGTTGTTATTCTACTATCCGCAAAGACGTCTAAATACTAATACATATTATTATGATCGTTATATTACGACGATTGATGACACATACCCAGGCCAATTTTCTTGCGGATTTTCTTCAGCCCTTTCATTTTGAACTTGAGCGGTGCCAAGAAATGGTCTACGGTACACTGACACGGCGGTTCGGGGGCTACAGCGACGGACCTGCTGAGGTTGACGACGTTGTTGCTGCGGTTGTCGGCGTTGCCCAGTACACCCATTTAGCGGGATTTCGTGGGTGCGCGATGATCTCTTATAACACAAAGTGGCGACGGCGGCGGACAAACGTGTCGTCGCGTGCGATATCTTATAGTGCGGTCGGATGACGATGATAATAGAAATAGCGAAAATATTATAAATCTAAACACGCGTGTATCGTAGATCTATAATCGAATATTAATTTATAAACTTGTTTAGATTGAGGTGGATCATATACGATAACGATATCACTGCCGTCGTTACGGATACCGGAACGGTGAACGCGACGAGGAGCGAGCGCGTACTGAACGTGATCGGCTCCGGAAAGGAACTGCCGAGTGTTGCTGCAATGCTGCCGAAAGCGAGCGACCGCCCGCAGTACGGTGTGAGGGCACGCGTCTCCCGCGGGCGACATCTGCTCACCCGGTGGTGGTGCATTGGTGGGGGGCAAGCACTCGCGCGCAGGTGGTGCAGCGCCGCCGAACGCGACGACGACGACAGCGATACGCCGCCGCCAAGCACATAAATACATAATATTATAAACTATATAGTGCGTATCGTAATACGGGAATATTATAATTATATATTATAATCATACGTAATATTATATGGAAGAACATTTTCACCTGGTGCGCGAATAATGGGCGGCGAGACTGCGAGAGGGAGGAAACACCGGAGCTCGCGCGCGACCGAAGCGTGTACGTCCTTTGACCGAAACAATGAAACCAGCCGACCGTCGTAAAAAAAGGCATATACATAACGTCTTGTACGCCAAGAATAAAATATATTGAATACTACCCCCTGGGAGACGTGTTAAGACGATTTGGTTTCTCGGGACTTGAGGAGGACCTGCTACCGGCAATTATTATTATGATACGACGACGATGGCGTGCGTCTTGCACAACAATCGTTTCCGACGAAATTGCTTTCGACAATGCGCGAATTTCAAAGGTTTCCACTGAGTAACAGGCCAACAGGTTTCTTTGCTTATTCAACTCCCAAAACTATATATTAAAATGTATAATATGATGCGGTGAAATATTTTGGAAAATAAAAATCGTAATTGATTCGAAGAACATCGAAGACGACTACCAACGCGTAAGAAAGTAACGAGTAATAAGTAATAAGTATAAAGTAACCAATAACTATATAACTAATAATAACTAGTAACTAATAACTATATAGGTACTGATAAATGATAATTAAATTAATGTGTTCCGGCTATACGGTGATTCCCCAATAATTATATTGGTCACTAATCCAATTGATTTTGTAATTATCTGATATTCGAACAACAATTATAAGTTATAACAATATAGAATATATCGTAAACAATTATACATGGCAATACAATAACAATTTACTAGATACGTTGTTAATAATGTATAATGATATAATGATTACCGAAACGTGAACAAACGAGGACACCTACTGATGAGTGATGAGTCGACGACTTAAATAACCGTACAGACCACCCATTCTGTATTCACAGAAGTATTTCACTGTATTTCACTGTAGTCTTAATAATTGACTTCACGATTGAACAATATGCGGTACACATTTTTACATTCGTTAAAAACCCATTTATTTTCTTCTGAGTTCATATTATTATGGTAAACATTTTACTGGTTTGAATTTTGAAATCATCTTTTCTACGAAAACTTACTTTAATAATTTTACAATTGGTCTCATATTTTTACGATTAGTACTTATAGTACTTAGTAGTTAAACACTATAATATACTATATTAATATAGTAATAACTATCTAAACTCATTGAGAACCTAATCTATCCTTTTAGTGAGCTAAAATATTTTTACTGCCAAGTTGACACTCGTCTCATCTAAATGATAACGTAACTTAAATATTATCTTTAATGATAACCTATAGGCTATGGGGAAATAGTCAACAACGGTAAATACAATTATCACCGATAACAAAAAAATACAAAAAAATCCATTTGAGCATTGAGCCACTGAATTTTAATCTAACTGATACAATCAAATTATTTGATAGGAATTTTGTTTTTAAAAATTGCTTTATATGTAAGTATGTTTTAATGTCTCGAAACTATTAATTATTTTATACTACAAACTATATAACAGTAATTTATATAAAATATAATATTAAGAACAGTACCCATATAATGTTAATTTTATTCTTAACATACACCTGTCAGAACTTACAACAAAAAAAAAACAAACGTTTAAACATGTGCATCTGGTTTCAACGATCAACAGAGAAATTACTATACGATCAGACATAGTTATTACTTTTTACCTAGTCTGTACATTACACCTGTTGATCTTACAGAAATTAAGCAGGAAAAAAAATAATTTCCTGGCGACTATATTTTCCTGTATCCCACGGTCTTGTCTGTGCGATCTCGTATCACAATGGAATGATTTCAGGAATTTCTGTATTAGAACACACATAGCAACTAATTATATTACTGTACCTACGTATGTAATTTAATATTTTAAAGACGATTATTACCACTGTTGACACTCTGTAGTCTGTACTGGTAAAAATACGAACGAACTATCAAATAAAATCTGCCACGAATATAACCAGCGGTCAGCGATACACAAATTGTTTTATTAATTAGTCACTAAAAAATACATTCAATATTTATTTAATAATATTAATACGGATTTTGTCAATAAACATCATGGGTTTGTACTCCGATATTGTACAATTATTATTATTGACATTATTAGAATTTAGAGGTTATCCGGTATTATAGACATTAGACGCAACATTTATTTTTGATTAAAACAATAAGGCTATATACATTTAATAATATAATGTTCAAAAAAATTCAATTATATAAAGTATATACTATATTATAATATGACTGATAAATGATGAGGTTTATTCTTGATATATTATGAATTCTAGTAGTTTTATACAAAGTTACTTAGTTCCGCGGGCTAAGATCTTTATTTAGTTTGTTTTTCATTGAAATGTGTCATACACGTTGACATTTACCGGGGTAACATATCAAAGTAATTTTCAATACAATGATATAACAATAACATAGAAATATCTATTCGGATTTCTGATTAAAATAAAATATAAAAATATATTGAAAACATTACAACGCGGGTTCAACAATGTGCGTTATAGTTTATTGGTTTTTTAAGTTTTTTTCCCCGCAACGATTGACTTGAAACCAATATCCGTTTGCGGCTAAAAAAAAATTATTTCGACACTTATACCGAGGCGACAGTAATACTTATTAGTAATACTTACCCATATTATTATGATATTATAATGTTATACACGTGCGCGTATATAATATTATAATTTAATATAATGTACAATTTAAATAGGTCGTCGGGCTCTTGCTCTACAGATATATATTATTTATGCGTATCTAAATCTAAGACGTGGATCGAACTATATACAACGATAATCATAAGTATCTACCTACGTATACACCACCTATACATTATACGCACGCACACACGCATATTATGTATATGATATAATCTAATATTTAAGTCGGACTGCAATAACAGCTATTATTGGGAACCGCCTCAAGTCTATACGGGAGTAGTCGTGCTGTTTGTGGTATAAACGATATGTCATAAACGCGCGTGCGTTACGGGATACCTACCTACTATAAACGCGGTCGGAGGTAACCGAAAACCGACTTGTTGCGGTGGCGATTAGCGGGGAAACGATGACGGACGGCGAACCTATATAGGTACACACCGATGGCGATATCTTCGCTGCAGTACTATATAGTAACACGAGTAACACCAACTCGGAGCGGCACTCGACCTCGGGCTTCCTGCTCGGGCGAAGATACGAGCGCAAAAGACTGTGAAATTCTTTACGGCCCGATAAATCACATCCGCCGGAAACGGTCACGGTTCTGCAGTGCCGCAGAGGGCCACGCATGAAGGAATCGCGCGACAGCGGTAGCGGAGATTCCGCTGGTGTATATACCACCAAGTAATGTTACTATATATACGAGTGTACTATCTGTCTATATATATATGTAGAACTACCTTATATATAGGCGTATAACGTAAATCGCGGTCGGTGGTTTAATAATATAATGGATTCGTCGCGATTTCTGTGCGCGGTGACGATACAACAATTATTATATAATTATATAATATACTACCTACGGCGCGAACTATATAATTTACGTACAACACATTATCACTACAACGACGTGGATAGGAGAGAATATTGCGATCGATTAAACAGAAATATACTGCGAAGCAACCCGAGTTTAAAAAGACGTCGGCGCGTGGTGGGGAGGTCACCCCCGCGAGTATAGGTCGGCTGCAGAAGACGTGGCTGGGCGCATGATGATTACCTATATATATAATCATCCTATATATATATATAATATAGGACCGACGATCGTGGGAAACGGTAAAAATCCGAGTTGTACAGACGGTATTTAGACGGCGGTGGTATTAGAAACGATTGCTGCATCGGGACGAAGGTGTGTGTGTGTGTGCGTGTGTTTGCGTGTGGAGCGCGATTCTCACGACGTTGACCGCAGGCGCACGTCTGTTATATCGCGCGGGCCTTTCCCCTCTCGCAAACGGGTCATCCGTCGGTGGGGACTGCAGGGGACCTTACGGTCGGGACTTGTGGGAGGGAAAGGTATAGAGCATCGATCGTCGATCGTGTGAATCCGTCGTGCAAAATCCTAAGGGGGCGATTGTATTTGTATACAAACATGCTATACAAAAAGTGCATACAGCGCGTCTGTATACAGGCATCGGATGCAACGTAATTTGTGTCTTGGCAAGGATCAAACATAGCGTTAAGGACACTAAAAAACGACATATCAATAATACAACTGCAAAATGACCTATATTTCAAAGGCAGCAAATCATATACCTACAATAATATATTGTATTTATGTAACGGCAGCCAAAAACTCAAAAGGTTAAATCTACCACCGGATAGACATCGTATGACGACGGTATTCCAGTTCGGTGGAGTTCCACGGGACCATAGTCACCAAGTACGAGTTTAGGGTATTATTTCCATCCGGTCGCACGCACCGGACATCGTAGTGATATACGGATGCTCCCACTCATCAGCGGCCGCGCCGAAATCGTATCACTCATTTTTTTTTTCCTCATTCTAAATGGAAACAAATATTTGTTTACATACCGTACGATCTGTTCCAAACAAACATAAATGAGTATTTAGCCAGAGTGCTTATAATATAAATAATATAATACATGTATAATGTATATTATATTACATTATAATATGTGGTCATGATATTTTTAATATTAATTTTCATTGTGTTTTTTTGACAATAAACTGTTATAAACATTAGTACCTATATACACACAAGTCATTATCTAAGTGCACTTTTTTTTTAATCAGATTAAGTCTGTAATCATTTTATAATTTATAGGTGTTAAAAATCACTTAGTTAGGAACCTCATATAAGCTTTTTGTGACATATTTTAGTATTATTGATAAAAATGATATATTTTAGTTTTATTTAAGACTAAAGACAGACATTTATCACTTTATCGCCTAG